CCCCACATAGCTGGAAGCACATGAGGCCAAGGGTGACAATCCTCCCCATGCAGTTCCTGGGAGGAGACGTGGGGGACTAGACAGGGAAGCATGGAACCTGAGTTCTGGTCCTGTGTCTGCCACTGCGGGGTGGCTGTGGGGGTACTGCTCAAATCACTTAACCTCTCTGACTGTAGGTTCCTCACTGTAGTGTAATCCACATGCTCTTTGTGTATACTATAGTAAGTATCAGATCACATATGTATAAAAGCAATACACCAAGGCAAAGACAATCATTATTTTTCATGAATTTACTATTGCAAAGATGGAAAAGGAGGAGAGTGTCCTCATATATCTTTCTTCTCCTCCCTAAAATATTTTTCAAAGTTCCCCTAATAAAATCCAAATATCCCTGCAGGAATGGATCATACCTTCAGACTTCCATCACCCAGTCAAATCTTTGTGGAGGAGTGGGGCAGGGGAAGAGGTGGTAGGCAGATTGGGGGTCAGAAGAGAAGAAAAGGGGTAAGGTAGGGAATCAAAAGCAGCTTTCACCCTTAAGATGGGTTTAGAGCTCCTAATTCCATCCACTGGGCCACTCAAAATCATCTCTCTGAGGCCGGGACCCTACCCAGAGTCTTAGACCAGAGAGACAAGGTCAGAGACATGCATTCTGTACCCCTACAGTGGCCCTCAGAAATAAGGACCTGATGCAGCTTCTTTGAGAACATACTCTTCTTTCCTACATCGTGTAAGAATGTTCCCAAATCAGGGCGCCTGGGTGGCTCAGGCTGTTGAGGGTCTGACTCATGATTTTAGCTCAGGTCATGGTCCCAAGGTCATGAGATTGAGCCCAATGTCAGGCTCCTTGCTGAGCATGAAGCCTGTTTATGATTCCCTCTATCTCCCCCTACCCCTCACCCTTTCTTGCTCTCTCTCTAAAAAAAAGGGGGGGTGCCTAGGTGGCTCAGTCGGTTGAGCGTCAGACTTTGGCTCAGGTCATGATCTCATGGTTTGTGGGTTTGAGCCCCACATCGGGCTCTGTGCTGACAGCTCAGAGACTAGAGCTTGCTTCAGATTCTTTGTCTCCCTCTCTCTCTGCCCCTCCCCCACTCTCACTTTGTCTCATTCTGTCTCTCAAAAATAAATAAATGTAAAAAAAATTAAATAAAAAAAAAAAGAGTGTTCACAAATGCTTAACATTTTTAAAAACGTCTTTCCTCCTCATGGTATCAGATCAGGGAACCAGAGGGCATTCCCTGCCTCTTTGAAAAGGCCCAGCCTCTGAGGCCTTTAACATGGAGGGCTCAGCAAGGGACAGCAACAGAATCTTGGACAGAATGGGACAAAAAAGACAACAGAGAAGCAGTAAATAGAAAAGGTCATTCCAGCCAACATCTACAGGCACAGGCTAGTGCTCTGGGGAGGGGCCCAGGAGTGGTGGGAAGGCGGGAGAGTCATCCATTCCTAGAATGGCAGACCTACAGGGACTCTACAGTCCCTGTGCTTCACAGGTGAGGCCGTGAGAAGGGAGTGCGTTTGTGCATTTGAGAGAGAAAAAGAGTGGTTTGTCCCATGGGTAGAATGCTTGATATTTCTAGTTTTCCCATGCCATCTCTCAATCTTCACCACACTCCTGTGTCTTTCACATGAGGGTTATTATCTGCACAATGCACGAGCACACGCCTGCATGCACATCTGTACACACATGCACATGCATACACACTCATGCACGGGCACACGCCTGCATGCAAATGCTCACGGGTAAGTGCATGTGTACTCCCCACCCCCACACCATTGAGGGATGAAGAAGCAGGTGTCCAGCAACGGTGTGCCTTGTCCACCGTTGCTTGCCCAGCTGGGCAGCAGCTACCGCCGAGTTGCAAGCCCAGTTCTGAGGCTCATTCTTCTTTTTGGAGCAGTGCCCTGTGCACAAGGACACCTGGCAGCCTCATTTCATCTAGAAAGTCCAGGGCCAAATGCTCTCATCAAAACGGATTATGACTAGCTGGGCTGAATTTGAAAGGGTGAGTTTTCTTCTTAGCTCAAAGTAGAAGGGCTTCCCCAGTCTGTGTTCCAGGGGATTGAAGGAGCTTCCTGCTTCCTGATAACTGCTCAAGAGAAAGCCAGCCATGGTCAACACACCTTCAGGGCCTGATCTTAAAGTAGCCAGAGGGTCCGAAGCCCCCGAAGACAGAGCCTTCTCCTGAATGGAACGGCATGCAGGTGGTGGTGGTGGGGGGGTGGCAGGTGGTGCTGCTTGGGGCAGCTAGGTCTTGGCTGCTGTCATGGTTCTGCTTTACCATAATGGCTAAATTCTTTGCCAGAGGACAGGGAGCTTGTCTTGCAGGGAGCAAAGTGGACCACGGAGTGCTAGACAAAATGGGCTCTGTGCTATGCTGAGCTTGCTGAGGGTCCCTTCTGGGTACACAACATACTTCTTTCTGCAACCTCAGACAAAGAGGCCAAGGAAACAGATAAACCCATGGGGAAGGCTGGGGGTGATGGCAGGAGACACAAGGTGTCACAGTCCAATAGTAGAAGAGGCAGCGTACAATGATGTGGGACCAGAAGGCCTGGAATAAACTGGTTTCTAAGACCACAACCAGTTCTAATATTTCAGGAGCAGAGGTAACCCTCTGTTCTATGTTCTAGTCTCAGTTCTGCCTCTGACGAGCTGTGTGACCTTGGTGGCATTACGTCATTTTGTGGGGTTTCACTCCTCATCTGCAAATGAGGTGTGATGGAGGGTATGGAGGGGTAGGTCAGACGTTCATAATATTTTTTAAATGTTTATTAATTTTTGAGAGAGAGACAGTGTGTGTGAGCAGGGGAAGGACAGAGAGAGAGGGAGACACAGAACCCAAAGCAGGTTCCAGGTTCTGAGCTGTCAGCACCGAGACCGACGCAGGGCTTAAACCCACGAACTGTGAGATCATGACCTGAGCCAAAGTTGGATGGTTAACCAACTGAGTCACCCAGGCGCCCCCAGATGTTCATAATCTTTAAATTCAGCTGTGACATTCAATGAACACATGGAAGTGACCCCCAACTTGCAACCTAACTGGTTTCTGAATGACAGCTGGACCTTAGGAATCCCTGTTCATTGTGAATCATGTCCAGTCTTGTCGTGGGATAGTATGGATTACAGCTGGGCTGATGGAGTCCAGGGAGGGTGACGTTAGCCCTTCTGGACAAGACAGGCCCCAGACATCATTTAGAGTAGGAGGGATATGGGAGTGGGGAGGGTCTTCAAGGTGTCATGGAGAAAAACTCTGGGGATTTCTCTGTAGAAATGCTGAGTAGGAAGGAAACCAGACTCTGGTGGCCAAGAAAAGGCAGAGTGCATTCTGTTGGGGAAAACTTCTAGAAGAAACACGCTGGGTTGTGGCCTGTGACTTAAAGCAGGGGTCTGTGAGCCAATGTGGGGCAGTGGAAGGAGCACAGGACTCAGGGTCCTGGTTTCCATGGAGCTTTATCTTCTATTCATCAGCCTTGTCATTGACAAAGTGAGCTCTAACGTTCTACACAAGCCATCATTTGACATCTCCGGGACACCCACAGGGCTCAAGCACCTTCCCATGAAGAAAGCTGGTCCTAAAGGGTGCTCCCGGGCAGGGGGCTCCCAGTCACATTGCTGTGTTGTAGCACTTACATGGTGCACAAGCCACAAGTCGAGCACAGATCACGTTCGTATGATGTGGTAGGAGACCGGAAGTCCCCTTTGATGGTGGTGGTAAGACTGAAGGACCTGTAGAGCCCCTGTTAGTACTGTGCTGACTGTGATGGTGTTGCTGCCCTTAACAGGTGGCAGCCAGAGCCCCAGTCTAGGCTCCCTGCTTTGGCCATAGGCAGGACTCTGGGGCTTTCTGTCTCTTTAAAGGGAGCATCTTTCTGGTGGTTGGCATGACATCTGTTACTGACAAGTGTACCAGAACAAGGCACATTATGTGGCAGGGAGACTAATTTCAGCTGCTGTTCCAGCATGTTCTGCGCAGTGTGATGAAGGGCATTCCTGATTTGGAATCTTTGATATTTTTCCGTTCCTAAATTGCAGGTGTTTCCATAATTGGCCTCCTGGGAAGTGCAAATTAGTCTGGTTTTTTCTTTTTCAGAGGCTTCCAGCTCAGGGGCACAAGTTGGAAATGTAAACGGACCCTGATTCCCTGATTTCATCAACAGGAGAGGCACACTGTGTGCACTGTCTAGGGGGATGCCTTTGAGGCCCAAGAGGCTGGCATCTGCCTCTTGCCTCCCATGAGTCTGTGCTGGAGCCCTGACCTGGGGTTCCTATCCCATGGAATGCTCCTGGAAAAGTGAGTCTTCCCTCCCACAGCTATTGCCTTCTGCAGCACACTGGGCTCACTCCCAGACTTGCCTCTCAAGGCCAGACTCTTCCAGGCTTGAGTCACAGGCTCTGCCCCTCTTCCTGTCAGGGTCCTGATTCTTCATGTGGGGACTCTCTCAGTCTTTGGGTGGAATGAGGCAGAAGGGAGGGGTCAGGAGAATGTTCCAGATGTGATAACAGCATAGGAAAAGACCCAGCCGTAAGAACAGTATGCCTGAAGTGTGTGGGAAGGGATCCACATGCAGGAAAAAATTTGGAAGGAAAGGGAAGAAAATGGAGTCTCCCCAGGCAGGGCCCTGGAGCAGGGAAAGTCTGTCTTATAGAGCCAGCTTGTCAGATAGTCAAAGGTCAAACATCGTCTGCACTGAGAACCAGGCTTGGAAGCCTTCCTGGATGACCTGGTTCAAATCCTCCAGGAGGAAAAACTTGAAGCCCCAAGGTGGGGCATGTCCTCCAGAGGTCACACGGCTGATCAGCCAGCGGCAGAGTTGGGATGAAGATCCAGGTCCTCTGGTGTCCCACTGAACTTTAACAGCCTCCCCTGCCTGTATCAATGTGTGCCCAACTCTCGTGGCAGGGAAGTGTCCTCATCACCCACTGGGTGCTGGGCACACACAACTCAATACTGTTAGGAGATACTGTGGGATGGACTAGAAGGGATATGCAGGGGGCCAATATCAGCACTAAACCAGCTGAGGGGATGTGGACAAGCGTCCTTAACCTCTCTGGGCCTCAGTTTCCTGATCTTTCCATTGGGCTGATAACAGGGGTTGTGTGAACACAGATTTGAAGAGATGAACATAAAAGCCCATGCTAACTAGGTCACATCAATGTATTTTCAAATCCAGCTGACCGATCACTCCAGTTAAATGGTACATAGTAGGTGCTTAAGGGATTTATGTTTTGCTTGAGTGATTCAAACAAAAGCTAAAAGGTCAGTACACCCTTGAGTCTTGTCACATATTCCAATGCAGTGAGCAAAGGCCTCCATGTGAATAAAATATTACTCAGGAGTGGGAACACATTAAGCCATGATCATCCATTAGTGGCTGAGCCTAATGATGAAACCCAGCTGTCACCCAGCAGGCCTGGGATGCAGAATGGGTAAAATGTGATGGTAAATGAAGCCACCCAATGCACTGTCCTCCACTCCACCCATCTACACACACACACACACACACACACACACACACACACACACAGGAGGGCAGGGCAGGAAGCTGCTGGCCCCTGGGGGATGGGGTGGGGATTGTGGTGTCAGGTGTGCACCTGAGGAAAAGCATGAACACTCAAGGCCCTGCTGAAAATGGAGAAAAAAGATAAGAAATAGATGGGCTCAGAGACGAGGGAGCATGAGGCAAACTTCAGTTCCCCTGAGGCTGGACAGAGGAAGCCTTCTGTGGTTCCGCTCCATGTGGAACAAGCTCAGCAGCTAGCACCGTGCAGGGTGAGGGAGGTGGACTTCACCTTGCCCCTTTAGCCTCACTGGGGAACAAGCGGACACGGGCCTCCCTACCCGCCAGGCCCCCATGGTCACTCCTGCTGGGCCCCCAGTCCCTTCCTGGGCCCCCTTCTCATACCGTCCCCTTCCCAGAGTGGGACCCGAGAACTCACCTACAGTGGCTGCCAGGCCTGGGGCAAACCGGTCCTCACAGAACCTCCTCAGGAAAGATGTCTTCCCCACGGCCGAGTTGCCCACTAACACAATTTTGAAGAGCCGGTCTGGGATGGAGGGAGAGGCTTCCTCCTGTGGATGGCAGACAGTCTGGCCAACCGCCAGGATGGTCACCAGCCCCTCCTCCTGCTACGACCTGTCCCTACAGTGTCCAGGCGAAGGTGGGGACCTGCCCCCGGACCAGCATGAGGGAGGGCACTCCAGCTTTGGATGCACATAGCTTTGGGCTCTGGGCACAGAGGCTCCTTCTAGCTTCAGTGGGAGGGAAGAGAGACACTCATTCAACCATGTGTTGTCTGCCTCCTGTGTTGCAGACCCCTGTGTTGTCCCTGAAGACACAGGGACAAGGAGGCAGGCCTGGTTTGCCGTGGAGGGAAGGAGGCAGGCGTGTAAACAAAAAATTATAAAACAAGCTGCTGAGTGCTCTAGGAGCACAGAGGAAGAGTCAAGGATCCACAGGGGAGGACACTTTCAGCTGGGGTTTAAAGAGGAGGCAGAGATGCTCCATGCAGGGGAAGGACAGGTGGGATGTTTGCTGGGGGTGGGGGGAGATAGAAAAAAGGAAGCATGTCTATATCACAGGGGCAGAGACTGCCTGGGGTGGGCTAGGGAGCCTTGATTTCTGCCCTATCATTGCAAGCCTGGACTGAATGGAGGACGCTCTTGCCTCCCTGCATATCACTCTTCTGTCCATCTCATCAGCTTCTGTTTAGGACCCCGTCTGCCCTGGGGAACAGTCTCCACTCAGTAGGTTGGGAAATCCACAATGCCAGGCCACCGGACAGAGCTTTCGAGAGCCAAACAGTCACTGTACTCCTTCTCCTGTGTCCAGCAGCAGTAGGGAGATAGACTGGGAGCCGGCCTGCTCTTTAGTCTGGGATGCTAGAGCCCAGTGGGGAATGGACTTGCTCCAGGACTGCCAGGAGCAGCAGAGTAAGGAGCCGCCTTCTGGCACAAAGTCCTCTCGGCTGCATGATCCTCCCTTCCATTGAGCTGCTTGTGTGCTCGCCCAAATCCTGCCTCTGGGCCCAGCACCGCCTGCCCAAGCCAGGAGGCTCTTTTGAATCTATTTAGAAGCGGATTTGGGGGAATTAGCTCCTCTCATTGAGCAAATACTATAATGGAGTGACAGCAGATATTAGCAGAACTTGAGTCTCAGAGAAAAGCCATTAACAGCCTTTTGGGGAGAAATCAATTCCATGTAGTACTTAGGAGGGAATTCAAGGTCAATTACAGGAGTTTAAACTAAACCTTTAACAAACCGCACACTCATAAACTATGCTCTCTGCCCTGTTTTCTTTATTCTTGTAATGCAGAAGGGCATCCAACCTGATGGTCTCTGCTCAGCCTCTCTGCCTCCAACTGTCATCTATTTGAGACTACAGCTCAGTGCAACAGTCTGTGTATCCCTAGGCACAGCGACAGGTGGGGAATGTGAGGCCTAGGGCAAGAGAAGGAGGTTCTGGCTGCAGATGCTGTGCTGGCCCTACTCCAAGAAGAGCACATTTTTTTGTAGGCCAAAGAAGGTCAACATACTGATGGTCCAGCTCTAGGCAGGACCCAGTTGACGGGTGCAGGGAACTCCTAGTCATGTTTACTCATGTAACCTGTGTCCCCTCTGGGGGGCAGTCTGCAGTGAGGCAACCAGACTGGGGTGCCAGGGCTAGAGAAAGACCTGTTCTCATTCTCCTTCCTAGCACTTTTTTTTTTTTAAAATAAGCTTTAAGAAACTAAAGGTAATACTTGCTAATTTTTAAAATTAGGAAAAACAAGGGCACCTGGTGGCTCAGTTGGTTAAGCGGCCAACTTCGGCTCAGGTCATGATCTCATGGTTTGTGAGTTCGAGGCCTGCGTCGGGCTCTGTGCTGACAGCCCAGAGCCTGGAGCCTGCTTCAGATTCTGTGTCTCCCCCTCTCTCTGCCATTCCCCAACTTGTGCTCTGTCTCTCTCTCTCTCTCTTAAAAATAAATAAACATTAAAAAAATAATAAAAAAATAAAATTAGGAAAAACAGAAAAGTAGAGAAGAAAATAATTACTCATAATCTACCTTACCACCCAGAAGTGGTCACTATTTGTATTTGGATGCATTTCTTCCAGGCTTTTTTCCATATAGATGAATGAATATATGTTTTACTTAAAGAGATTTGAGATATTGGGGCGCCTGGGTGGCTCAGTCAGATAGGTGTCCGACTCTTGATTTTGGCTCAGGTCACAATTTCATAGTTTGTGGGTTTGAGCCCTGCATCGGGCTCTGCACTGACAGTGTGGAGCTTGCTTGGGATTCTCTCTCTCCCTCTCTCTCTCTGCCCCTCCCCCACTCGTTCTCTTCTGCTCTCTCAAAATAAACAAACTTAATAAAATAAAATAAAAAGATTTGAGATATTATATACAATTTTATTCTACTTTCTCATATTAAATTATAAATATTTTTCTGCATCACTAAAGTTTCTTGAAAATGTTATTTTTAGCAGTGCTACGTAATCTATTGAGTTAATACACTTGAATTTATGTTTCTCTCATTGGACATTTTTTCAAGTGTTTACAAATATACATAACCATTGTTGAGTTAAGTCTTTTTCTGAATCTGGTTATTTCCTTAGGAAAGATTGCTGGACGAGAAGTGCCAGTTTGTAGGATGTGGAATTTTTAAGTTCTTGATTCCTGTTATCAAACCGCTTTCCAGAAAGGCTGTACCAATTTATTCCTTAGCAGCCTTGCATGGGAGGGCCTGCCTCACAGTGCTCTTCTAAAGACCAGAGCCTCCACCGAAGCTGCTATTGCCTCCTTGTACAGCGTATTTCCCCATTGCTGTAGTTTCTGTCCTGGGCTAACTATTGGCACACCTGGGGCAGCCAGCACTGACAGGAGAGCACATGGTGAGAAGCCTGGGCGCATGTCCCTGTGGGGCTAGACCAGGCCCCACTCTTCTGGGCTTCTGTGTCCCTCTCTGTCACATGGGAGAAGCCATTTCTGATGGACCCCATCAGACAACTGTGGGGATCACATGGCCCAGCACACATGGATGCTTAGTTTTTCCCTTTATCTGGTCTCCTACTGACTTCTTAACACTTTTATATTGGGGGGTATATCTTGGGATATTTAAAACCCCTATGTGCCCCCTGCCTGCAAGTGTAGGTCTGTGATGAAGGGTACATGGAAGGGCGTGTAGGAAGGAGGAGCTCCTACCCACCACTGGTGCCATCCAGTTCTCAGTTTCCCCTGGCTTAGGGCCCTTCAGGGAAAGGATATGTAAGCATGAATGTTAGGCCAGGCCCAAGAATGACAATGATGCCGACAGGTCCCTGCAGTGGTCAGAAAGGTTTCCTGTCATACATGCTAACACAGCCATTTGAAAATGCTCCAGTGGTAAGGGCTCAGGTCTAAAGGGCTGCCCCAGTGGACGGGGCGAGCCTCTTTCACATTGTCGTGGACATTTCTATAGCCTTTTAGAGGGTCAAGTGGGAGGTGAAAGGGCTTGAGGAGTCTATTCATGGGCCTGGATCACCAACAAGGTGAGGAACATCATCACCATGAACCAGAGGAAGATGGTTAATATGGCCTACTTCTCCCACAAGATTTAGCAGAAATACCTGGTAGGAAGTGCAGGAGGGATGTGGGAACAGAGGGTTACCCCAAAGGGAGGCATGGGAAGGGCATTTGGGAATTAAACCATGATTAGCTGATGAGGAACTGAGAGAAAAATGATGGTACACAAACTTTGCAGAGCAATGATTGCCCCTGTTGGGAACAGTCACAGAATGTGAGAGAGGATGTGTAATTTCAAAAGTATGTGATAATTTTATGCTAAGAGCCAAGCAGATTGTTTGTCTAAAGTAGCTACTCAGTAAATGCTTCTGAATCTGAATCAGAAATGAGAACATAGGGAGTGGGGAAAACAACAGAAGTTATAGAGTATTTACCAGGACCCCTGAGTCTCCCCAGTGACACTCAGTTCAGCAGGGCAAGCTAGTATCAGAAGGACACAAATATGATGATTCATAAAACTAGCTGCACCTGACTTCCCAAGCTGAACCTGACTTCTCACGCTGCTTTTGCGGCTCTTGGGCTCAAATGCAAATGACAGGTATAGAGGTGACAAGTGACATCTATGGACCAATATAGGATGTGCACTTACCTTAGACAGGTCTTCTTTTCCAATAGGTTGCCCTCGAGGAGATGTAGGCATGCATTCCAAAGGTCTGGCCTGTTGGCTTTGTCCTTCCGCCCTCTGTTGGGAGACCTTTTCCTCTTCTGGGCATTTGCTCAGTGGCTGCTCAAAGCCACCATCCAGGAGCTGGGGCAAGGGGTCTTCTTCAATAGAGATGATTCTGCGGAATGCCCGGGTGAGTGGACCCCCAGGTCCTGGCTCCTCTTCTGGAAGGGGATATCCACTCAGGCCCAGGGAGCTTCTCCTTCTCGAGAAGCCAAATACATCTTCTTCCTCCTCTGACTGGCTATTTTTGGATAGGGAAGGGAAGAGAAATGGGGAGAATAGCACAAAATATATCAATATTGAAACCAGAGAGATGTCTCATAGCTCTTTGACAAACAAGATGTCTTGAAAGCTCTGTGACAAACAAGTAACTGAAGAGCATTACGCCTTGGGGGCAGAGAGCTCCAGGAAAGGAAAAAACAAGACCCTGCATTCTTGGGCTCATTCACCCAACACACTTATGGAAGTGCTTAGTGAATATAAAAATGACAAAGTGATGGTGATGATGATGAAGGTGATGGTGATGATGAAGGTGGTAGTGATGATGATGACAAAGGTGGTGGTGAGGATGGTGGTGTTGAAGATGATGAAGGTGGTGTTATGATGATGAAGGTAGTGGTGATAATGATGAAAGTGGTGGTGATGAAGATGATGAAGGCATTGGTGATGATTATGATGATGTTGCTGGTGTGATGATGAAGGTTGTGGTGATGATGATGATAAAGATGGTGGTGATGTTGATGATGATGGCAATCATGAAGGTGGTGGTGATGGTAGTGGTGATGAAGATGATGAAGGTGGTGGTGATGATGATTACCACCAGATATTTAGCTAATGACATAGTCACACACAGGTGGACATGTCCTCCTGGAATGCTCAGCGTAGTGGGGAATGGAAGCCGTAATGGCACAACTAAATATACTTCGACAAGCTGTGGGAAGTGCTTAAAAGGTGGAGTGAGGGTGTGAGGAAAGGAGACAGGGGCACCTGGATGGCTTAGTTGGTGGAGCGTTTGACTTCGGCTCAGGTCATGATCTCATGGTTTGTGAGTTCAAGCCCCACATTGGGGTTCACTGCTATCCGTGGAAAACCCACTTCAGATCCTCTGTCTCCCTCTCTTTGCCCTTCCCCAACTTGTGCTCTCTCAAAAATAAATAAAACATTTAAAAAAAGATCTGGAGGGGCGCCTGGGTGGCGCAGTCGGTTAAGCGTCCGACTCCAGCCAGGTCACGATCTCGTGGTCCGTGAGTTCGAGCCCCGCGTCGGGCTCTGGGCTGATGGCTCAGAGCCTGGAGCCTGTTTCCGATTCTGTGTCTCCCTCTCTCTCTGCCCCTCCCCCGTTCATGCTCTGTCTCCCTCTGTCCCAAAAATAAATAAACGTTGAAAAAAAATAAATAAATAAAAAAAATAAAAAAAGATCTGGAAATAAAGTACCCACAATTAACAATCAGGTGGCCTTGGCTGTGGTCCCATACCAGCCCTTACTGACTATGCCACTAGGTAAGACACTTCCACCCTTCCAAATCTCAGTTTCCTCAGCATAAAAATGTGGCTCATCTTCTCTGCCTATCTCACAAATAAGACAATGCATAAGTAGACATGTTCACAAAACAGCCCTTGGCAATGTGAGTGAGGGGTACTGTTGCTCTGGGAGAAGCCCCCACCACAGGATGGACGTCCACTGGCTCCAAAGAAGCTGCTCACTTGGGGATGGGCTTGGGGTTGGAAGCAAGCCAGACAGGGCACCTCTACCTGCTTTTTCTACCTTTCTTTTTCTCTTTCAGTGTCCCTGGAAGTCAGAGTGAAGAGTAAGTGGCCTCAGAGGTCTACATGCATATTTGCTCCCAGAAGCATCTGAGCATCAAGAATAAGGAAAAGCAGCAGGAAGTGAAAGGAGGGAACTGGTCAACCAGATGTAGAATGAAAGCACAGGCTGTATTTTCAGAAGGTTTTGACAGCAAAGGCCTCACAGACCCTTCCTGGCACAGGAGCTCGGGTCTCTGTGAACAATTAAAGCTGGGAAGTGTTTTAAATGGAAGTTTGACAGGGAGAATTTTGAGTCCAAAACTGAAACACACATGCACGTCCACACACATGCACACAAATATGCAATGATTAGAAAAGAAAACAGAATGTGAATGAGGTAAGGAAGTGACAGGGCCAATGGAGAAAGAAGGCAGGGGGGAAGGTCACAGAGTATGCAGAACAGTGAAGCTCCCTTCATTTCCCCCGTCTTCAGCTTATAATATTTATTATTCCTAAGGACCAGTAATAGGAAGGAAAAAGGAAAAACTGCATGTATCATTGTCCCAAAGTTAAGTACAACTCCAAAAGATAAATTAAGAGAGAAGGCTTGCTCACAAAAATGGTGACTTAATTTGGTTCCCTTGATATAAAATAAAGAACTTTATAGCAATTCAGGGACTTTTCCAGTTATTTATAAAATCATAGTTTTTAATAGAAGCTGACTGTCCTCTCTCCAACAAATTTCTTCTCTAGTCTATCAACCCTACTGACTGCTTATCCACTTTAGAACACAATTAGTATTCCCATTCACTTTCACTCTGCTTCCACCCAAGTATGTACATGTGTGCACATGTGAGCAAGTGTGCGAATACACATGCAGCATATTTTTTAAAGGCCTTGCAGCCAGGAAAAAAAATGGCCACCACAACAGCCCTAAAATGAAGCATTTTTTTGAAAAAAGCTTTTGATTTGGAAAATTCTCGAGCACTATTGACACTCTGTAATACCCTTGGCTTAGCATGACTGTGTTCATTTTTGGTTTTGTCACCAAAGGCTATGTACCAGCAGCAGAGAGCAGTGGCTTCTGCCAAAGTCTGTATTGGAACTGATGGTGCACAATTTGTTATTTACTTGATTGCCTGTTTCCTTTACTCAACGATAAGCTCCATGAGAGCAAAGATAGGGTCTATTTTGCTCACCACTGTATACTTCGCACATAGCATAATATCTTGCACATAGGAGGCACTCAATAATGGATTTTACGGCAGGACTCATGTTTAGCTTATTTTTGGATCTTCACAGAACTCAAAACAATGTCTGGTACAAAGTAAGCCATCGGTGAATGTTTGTTGAATGAATATATTCAATGCTGAGTTGGTGAAAGGCCAACTCTTATTGCAGAAACTTGGATCCCCAACTGTATCCCTCTCTGAGCTATTTAGAAAAGCAATTCAGGATGACTGGGTCCAAGCCTTGACTGATGAGCTCATCAACATCTCCAGAGTCACTTCCCCTTTTTGTATTGTGATTTCATACTTGCTGTCCTCAGGGTCTCCTGGATAAGCAAATCTATTCACTTTTTCCCTGGCTTTCATACTTAGGGGTCTGGTTGCCTCTACCTTTATATGGCCTTTATGTGGATGGAGCAACATGTCAAAAAAGAAGAGAGGGCAGAGGACTGGCTTGCCTCTTTCAATGGGCAATGAGCCACCCCTTTGGGGACTCCAACTCAATAATGTGCTAACAACCACAAAAAATGTTATCTTTGAGGTAATTAAATATGAGTCATTGAAAGGAATCTGTCAAGCGCAGGCCCTATTCCTGCTTATAAAGGAGTTCAACTATTGGAGACTCCATACCACACTTTAATTTCCCTTCAGAGTCCAAATAGTCATGTCCTTGAAAAACCAAGTGCATTCAGCCTACTCAACAGAGAGCACAGTACCTACAGCCACGCTTCATCTCTCCTGCTCGACCCCTCTCGTCCTCTCTCTCTTTCCTCCACTGATCTACAGCGTCTCTTCAGTTCCTTTCTGTAGACACACACCAGGGTGGGGCAGCCCCAGAAGATGATGTCCTGTCCTAGGGACCTGCTCTGCATAGTCCTCCTCCCACTTGGATGTAGGGTAAGGAAGGAACATGTCCTCCAAGATTCAAGGGGAATGAGTGAAACTGATTCCAGGCTTCCTCACCCAGGGCCACTCCTTGAGAAACAACGGGCTCAGAGCCAGCTCTGGAGGAGTGCAAGACAAATGAACACATAATGAATGAAGAAATACAGGATAACTTACCTCCTAAGAATCCCTCTGCCATCCATATATTTGCCTATCACAGAGCCAGATCTCTGTTTCCAGTTTGCCTTGGAAGCAGCTGTGTTTGCCTTGGCTGCCTTATCTTTCTGCAGAAACACAGAATGCCCTCAGATCCATGCCTGCTGATATGTCCCAATATTTGAGCAGAAAGGGCTCAACTTTCCCACCTCACAGGTCAGGCTCTAAACAAATTTCTGAAGTAAGACGCAATGTTCACATGCTCCCTGTTAACATTCACCCACTCTTTCCTTTTGTTATTGTCTCTTGCCAGGATCCCTCCATCTCCCACCCAAAATCTAAGGGAATGAATCTATACACAGTTTAGAGCCTGGGGTCCACCTTGTTACCCTTCACAGGAGTACTAACAGTTTGCAAGATGACAATAAGAAGAGATAATGTGGAATGCATAGGAAAATATTTACGCGTGGAAATGTCTGTGCATCTTTTTTTTTTTAATTTTTTTTTCAACGTTTATTTATTTTTGGGACAGAGAGAGACAGAGCATGAACGGGGGAGGGGCAGAGAGAGAGGGAGACACAGAATCGGAAACAGGCTCCAGGCTCTGAGCCATCAGCCCAGAGCCCGACGCGGGGCTCGAACTCACGGACCGCGAGATCGTGACCTGGCTGAAGTCGGACGCTTAACCGACTGCGCCACCCAGGCGCCCCTGTGCATCTTTAAATCACACTCATCTGTGTGCCTCTAACTCTTTACTTCCAAAGCCCCAGGAATGAGAAAGGGACTGGTCCAGAGGATCGATTAGCCCAGCGCCCTTGTTGGGGAGGGGAGGAGTCAGGGCTTGCAACCCTGTTGGCAATTATCCCCAGCAAATGTCTTCCAGAACATGAGGGGGAGTTCGATCACAAGGAAGAATCTCTCATCAACCATCCCCACGATTTCCAGTGATTCTTAATGAGAGAAGGAGGGGCTGCAGTGCTCCCAGGGTCCCTGAAGGTATGGCTATAATGATTCCAAATTAATCTTTAATTATTATTCAGCATGAACGTGATTTTATCCCTCTTTTTTCTATTCCCCGCTAGGGGTTGTTTATTCCATTCCCTTTTCAAAGCAAAATGAGTTTGGCAGGTGGAGGGACGTGAGGTCAAAGGATTAGGGGGACATTTGGTTGGAAGTTTCATAATAAATTCAGTGTTACTTCTAAAACAATTATAACCATTATCATCCTCAAACAAACATGTGTAGGCTTAAGCCTTGCTCGAATAGTACACAGAGGTAGGCGGTAGAGAAGTTTGCTGCCAGTCAGTGACAGAAAAGATACAGTGGTGTAACCAGGTCACCCAGGGATTTGCAGTTATAAACCAGGTCGGACCTAATTCACTGCAAACCGGCTGCCTTGTGCTGACCACATTTAGGCCACTGTCCAGCTAAGGGCCCACAGCATATGACCCTCCTCTTTCCAAGAGTTTTTTTTTTTCCCTCGAAAGTATCTATCATATGGAAAAAAGGATAGGCATTCCCTTTCCTCATGTGATAGTTGGGGTCATGGTTCAAGGAAATTAATGACTTGCCCAGGGACATACGAGAAATTCATGGTGTGATAAATCCTGATCATTAGAACATTGCATCAATGAATTCTTCCCTCTTTTTCCTTCCCTTCAGAGCATCCAATGACTCCTATCTAAAGGGGAAGATGAGTAGGAGAACACGGAATCCTGGATTTTGTTTAATGTGGCTCAAAATGATGACCTGTAAATAAATATAGGATTCTGTGCTATTAGGGAAAGTGTGTACTGTAGAGCTCAGGTCTGGAGGAGCAGGGTCCCCACAGGATAAAAAATGGGTACTTAAAATCAGCTATGTTAATAGTCAAATGTACATTTTTAATTTGTTCCATGATTGTGGAAAAATGCAAATTTCATCAAATGATAAAAATTTTAATGAAGGAAAAAAAAAACTTGTGAGTGTTTTGGTTAAAAGTGATCATGACATTTCAACTGCACCGCCTCCTGGATGGAGCTACCATGTCCATGTCCAAGAAATCTGTGACCCTCCCAAGCATCGTAGTCTCTTCATGCCAAGAAGAAAGTGTGTTACTTCACGGAAAACTAACACACTGCTACTCAGAAGGCTCCCTCGAATTTTTTATTATTTTCAAAAAATCCATGCCATTTTCTGCTTCTACAGAAAGGGTGAGCCAGACTGCAAGGACATTCTTGGGCCTGTCCCAGCATGGTCTCTGGCGGCCAGGGGACCCAAACCCCGTCGGGAAAGGGAACACAGGGCAATTACCTGAAAACAGATGTCCCGTTCATCCCGAAGGTGCTTGTTCCTTTCCCTGCAAACAGAAAAGGGGAATCTATTCAGACATGGTATTTGCAGTCGAGAAATCCAAGAGCAGCCACTTTGCCAGTGAGAGGAGTGCAGAGAAAGGCTTTATGTGGAAGGCCCAGGGAGCGCGTGGAATCTCTTTCCTAAGGGGGGGGGTGATGGAGGGTAGTTTGTGTGTAAATCAGTTGGAGGCAGGGGTGGGGGGACATAGAATGACTGTGACACCCACCACCCTTCAGGATCATGCACTGGTCTGTCCTGCCACTAGGGGGAGCCTCCCCCAGAGGGTGACCAGCAGTTCCAGCTGCACCTGTGAGCTTGCTATTGGGCCCGCTCTCTCTCTGAACCATTCATTTCATGCATGCATGCAGTACTCCCACAAATGTCCCCTGAGCACCCACTACATGCTAAGTGAAGTCCTAGCTCTCAAGGTTTACACAAATAGATAAAAGAAAAAGTTTCTGTCCTTGGGGAATTGGTGTTTTAGTGCAGGGTTCATTGCTCTCAAGAAAGATAAAGCAGGGACGTGGAATAAAGAGTGCCAGGGGTGCAGTGGTATTTCAGGAGGCCGGTCAGGGAGGGGCATCTGTGCAGAGGCTTGCAGGAGCGAAAGGGCACTATGCCAGCAGTTGAGGGAAGAGCAGCACAGGCAGTGGAGACAGCAAAGGCTAAGCCTGGAGTCAGGCTCAAACAGGGGTGTGCAAGGAACACAGAGGAGGGCATCAGAGTGCTCAGAGGAGAGCCTCTAGGAAATGAAGTCAGAGGGGCACCCGGGTGGCTCAGTCTGTTGAGTGTCTGACTCTTAATCTCGGCTCAGGTCATGATCTCACAGTTTGTGGGTTCAAGCCCCACATCAGGCTCTGTGCTGACACTATGGAGCCTGCTTGAAATTCTCTCTCTCCCTCTCTCTCTGCCACTCCCCCCCATCAAAATAAATAAATAAACATTTTTTTAAAAAAGCAAATGAGGTCAGAGAAAGGTGAGGGGACAAATGGAGACCTGCTCATTCATAGTCTTGTGGGCCATTGTAGGAACTTGGGATTTTACTCCAGATGAGATATGAAGCCGTGGGGGTTGGGGGAGTAGCAGAGGAGTGTCCTGATCTGACTCAAGTTTTCAAAGGAGCCCTACAGATGCTGTGCTAAGAATACATTGCTGGAGACAAGGGTGGCACCCTGAGAACTGGCCACTCTTTCAAGCAACATGGAGGTCCCTGGTTCCCCTTTCAGTGCAATTGAGGCAGAAGGAGCCTGACTGGAGGGTCAAGAATGTGAGGAAAGGAAGTGGAGATGGAATGCAAGTGTAAACAATTCTTTTGAAAGGTTTTGAAAGCCATTAAAGAAATGCAAAGTAGCTGGATGCCTAAGTGGTGACAGGAGCTGCTGGGTAAGAAATGTTATAGGACATTGGTTGGTCTCCCCAAAAGAGAAACAACCAGCCATGGAGGAGAGACAATACCCACTGGACCAGCCCTTGAGGAAGATCTCATTCTAGTGCACATTTGGGAGAGCCAGGCACATGGGGCATTCAGCCACCACAACAGAGAAGGCAGGAGGTAGGCATGGATGGGCACAGGGGACATGCTCATGTGACAGTTCTGCCTGTCTCCATGATAGTAGCAAAGCCTGAGAATGGCAAAGGGAGAGTTTCCTTCCAGAAGGCCCCTCGCTCTATGCTGGCAGAGAGGTTAGCAGCCTTGCACCCGGGTGAGGACATGGGGGCCCTGGGAAGCCCCATCTCCATCAGGGAGTTCGCTGTGGTGTTTCCTGCTTTGTGCAGTCATCTCCAGGCAGAAGCTTCGGCAGTCAAAGAGATGCTACACCCTCTAAATAAATGTCCACCTTAATTCACACTAATGCCCTGTCGTGATGGTCACTCATATATATATCATCTCACTCTCAAGAGAAGCCTGTGAGGCAGGCATGAGAAAACGAACATTCCATCTGGTTAAGTCAATTGCCCAAGGTCACACAAAATAATAAGGGTAGTGCTGGGTCTTGACCCAGATCCGGCCCCAAAGTCCATGTTCCCAACTGAGTCCCCTGAAATTGTTTCCTTTTGCTGCTACTTGCCCCTAGGAGGGCAGTCCCTTCCTCACACTGTCATATCCCAGCCATTGCCATGATGGGGGCAGACCCCCATCCTCCCCCCCAACTTCCAACTTGATATCCCTTGCCTCGGCATTATCTCTGTCCTTGATTCCCATTTCCCCACTGCTGTCTGTCACTACCCGATGATTTCACTGTGGAGGAAAAATCTGCCATGGGGGCCTTCCTCGCTACGGATGGACTTTGACCTGCTGCAGAATCTAAGCTTGTATGCATGTGATAGCACAGAAAGACTTTGGGCATGTAATTCTGCACAAATGCCAGTCTCCATCAAAAAGACCCATGCGTTTGTAGAGATCTGCCTTGTCATTCTCCTCTGCTCATTCGCTTTGAATCTGTCTTTTTCTTCTAAGTACAACAGAAAAAAGGGGGAAAAATCAAAATTTGTCCTTGTACACCCTGTTCTCTTCTTTTCACTAAAGCCTTCTAAGATTCAAGACCTGCTCTCAAATGGATTAGAACTTGGTCATGTCAGAACCCCCTTCCATCTCCCCAGCCTTTGCAGTCCTGTTTGAATCATGTATTGAGGGAAGTAAATCTGAAATGCATTCAGTTCTGAGCACTTTTCAATTTGGTAGCATCACAGATGCCGACACGGTGACCTCACCTTGCTTTCAAATAAAACAAAACAAGTCAGAGTGTACCTGATTTAAGACAACTGCACTCTAAAAACCAGAACCTGGGGAGCCTGGGTGGCTCAGTCGGTTAAGCGGACGACTCTTGATTTTGGCTCAGGTCATGATCTCATGGTTTGTGAGTTCGAGCTCCACATTGGGCTCTGTGCGGACAGCGTGGAGCCTGCTTGGGACTCTTCTCTCTCTCTCTCTCTCTCTCTCCCTCCAGCACTCTTTCTCTCTCAAAATAAATGAATAAGCTTAAACAAAAATAAAAAGCAGAACCCAAAGTGCTCGTGCCCCATCACCATTCCCAAGAGGTGTTTGGCAGACAGAAGGTACTGTAACTTGGAAACCTCACATGCAAAAGTGAAAATCCCATCTTTCCACACGCAGGTTTTGTTTTGGGTTTGGTTCTGGCACATTCCAGACCAATGAGCTTTGAATTTACAGTAAGTTTTAGCAAGTGGAGGAAACTCTAAACTCCTTTGCTCTGTTTATGCTCTGTTTGTGACTCATTTGCTCATTCAACAGACATTAGGAGACTATGGCAGAATCAAGAGAATCAGCCAGATACAGATCTCAAGTCTGACTCCCGAAGTGAGTGTCTGTCTCCTTTGGTAAATTGCTTCACTTCTCTGCTATCATTTTCCTTCTCTGTTAATTCCCCTATCAGGAACTGCCCTCCTTTCTTTAATTTTGTTGAAGATGAAAGGCATACCAGGGGCACCTGGGTGGCTCAGTTGGTTGAGCGTCTTGACTTCGGCTTAGATCATGATCTCAAGTTCATGGGTTTGAGCCCCACATGTGGAGCCTACTTGATTCTCTGTCTCCCTTTCTCTCTGCCTCTCCCCAGCTTGCGCTCTCTCTCCCTCAAAAATAAACATCAAATTTTTTTTTTTTTAAAGAGAAAGGGATAGTATATCTTCCACTGGGTAGATGCTCAAGAAATTCAGTTCTGCTCCTACCTGAGCAAGTACCACATAAGGTGCTGTGGGAGATGCCACAAAGAATGAGGCAGAGCCTACCTGCAGATGTACAAACTGGAGAGGGATGTGGGCGTGTGTGTGAATGGACCAAACATAATATGCTGGGGATCAGGGGAATGAGGGCACTCTCTCAGCAGCTGTGATCATCCAGAATGTAGGCAGAGAAGACTTTCAGCCTGGCTCTTCCAACCCAAGGAATGTGGGATATGCTCTCAGAACACATCTGATGCTGACACACCTCAGGAGATCCAGCTGTTTCAGAAGCCCCAACTTCTCACGCTGCAGGCTCTCCGTCACACGGTACACTTCCCTGAAGAAGAGGCCAACACAGACTTATGAGCTTCTATAGCAGGGATTTAAGCCACCACGGTGTGAGGGGCTGTGTTGTAGTTGGTCCTGTTGTAGTTGGTCCTGGGTAGGACCAGCAGGTAGCACCCCACCCTGGGGTCAGAGGGATATGCCTCCCCTGATGAGCACCTGCTGTGTGCAGGTGGTTACAGCTATGATCTCACTTCATCATCACAGACTCCCGATTTGGAAGGTGAGATTACCCCTATTTTATAGACATAGACAGAGAACCAGTAACTCTCCCCATGTCCCATAGACAATCCACGACTGAGTAGATTAGGACCCCCTACTCCCAAACCCATGAACAGGGCTTCATAATAATCACTTGGCCTTCCCAGGCTCCAGGTGACCCTGTCCTACCCAGAACCAATACTCTCCAGCCCAATCCTGCAAGTGAGAGCAGAACTTGTATTTTTCCTGTAGCTGGTTTCCTTTGTTTCCAGGAGCTCCAGAAGAATCCTTTCCCCTTCCCCATCCTCCCCTATAAGTCTCCAATCTGTTCTTAGATCTCTGTAATTTCCTCTGTTGGTCATTCATTTCTTTAACTTAGGAGTTCTCATCTCTAGCCATAAAGCAGAGATCAAATGTATCAATTATAATCAGATACTTAGATCACAGTGTGAACACATCAATCATGTCAATCACCCTTTGAGTAAGGGGAGGGAGGAGCTGAGAGGTAGTGGAGGTGTCTGGAGACCAACTCACATGGTGAGGTAGGAACTGCCTGGTTTGTCTGCATCTCTAAATGCAACCCAGTGCCCAGCATGAAGGTGTCGTCAACAAAAAACAGTAAGAAACAGGGGACCCTGGGTGGCTCAGTTGGTTAAGCGTCCAACTCTTCGTTTCAGCTCAGGTCATGATCTCACAGTTCGTGGGTTCAAGCCCTATATCAGGC